GGCTAGGTTTTTGCCATAGGGCATATGCACTCACCAGAGAGGAGAGAGACAGAGACAGAGAGAGGGAAAGTGAGAAGTAACCCCCAGGGAGTACGGCCATACTACAATCCCTTCTCTTCTATTGTCTTTTCGGGATTTTGGGAATGCATGCACACACGCCCAGCGTGATTTTCAAGCCACTGGCTTTAGGACTCAAACCACAGTTGACCATGTAGGACTCCAGCTGCCTTAGCCACCGGGTCACCTGCTGACCCTGCCGTGTCTATATGCTATTCAGTCTTGCTGGGTGAGAATGAATAATTATATAAATAATGTTTCACAAATCTCATTTTGTTTCCTTTTTGAAAAACTTATTACCAAAGCTTTAAACCCATTTGAGCCGCTGATTTACATGAATTTACTGTTCTAACCATTGCATATTTTATAGTATGTGTCTATAGTATAGTATCGCGTATTTTATAGGATGGAACATTTATGTTTTTATTCCTCTAGCAATAGGCAACTGCCACAGCAGTAACATAACAAACACCCTAACGCATGTCTTCTTAGAGGCCAAGGAAGAAGTGCATGGTGTGTAGGTCTAGGGGAGAACTAGTTTGCCATAGATCAGACAGACAACTCTCTTTATTAAGCATAACCGACCTCTTCCTGGGCTCGCTTCCTACTCTGGCCACCGTCACAGAGACGGGAACCACGCCGGCGCCCAGGCTACCGCCAGCCTGGTACCGTGCAATGCAGCAGACCTCACCGCTCAGTCCCTACTCAGGGCCTTCTCGGAGGCAGAGATGAGCACTCAGGACCCGCTCAGCACTCAGACCTGCGCGTGAATCGAGAGACAGGAGGCGGGAGGATAGAAGCCAGGGAATAAATGCTTCCACTCTCTTCCCTTGGGGGACAGTTCTGAGACCGTGGCTGTTTACCAAGATCCCCGTGAGACGGAGCACAAGCTGCCAGCCTCGGTTGCCAATTTGCGAAAATGCATCCTCATGTTAATTTCCCTTCTTTCCTATCTCAGTTCCCTAGTTCCTTGTTCTTCTTCCTTGTTTTATTTTTCAAATGAGCCTAAGGACGAGCCTCTGAGTCAGGCTCTGCTCTCAGGGGCTACCCAGCAGACAGCATGACCCCTGAGCACCGCCGATCGTGTTCCGGAGTACATGCACCCTGATCTGGGTGGCTTGGCGAGTCTCCGACTTGTGAGTCAGAGACGGAGTCCTTTCAGAATTTCAGAGGGCCACCTCTGATGGTGGGCATTGACTGCTTGGGAGACACACAGCCGTCATTGCTCCCGGTATCGGACTTGTCACGGTGGGTCAGTGACTTCGCTCTTTTTACTTCCTGAGTTCTTTTCGAAGTGTGGTTGCCGCATACGTGGCCTGGTGACTAGGAAGTACCTGTCCTACGCCTTGCTCCCCAGTCATGATGGACAACTTCTGACTTACGGACAGGGCACATAAGGATGTGGATGTCCCACAACAGAGTGCTGGAAAAAAGGACCTGTCAGCACTCGATAATATGAAACCATCGGATGATATATATTTCCCTGAATGCTGTTGCAGACAGTTTACGTCCTAGAATATGTGTGTGTTTGGTCACATCGTCGCTTGGGTTTACTCGGGGAAAAGTGATCATTTCTCTGAGTGGACATATGTTAGTGCTTTTGAATGTGTGTATGACAACTCATTGTACTGGGCGTATCATTATTTTAAATAGCACAAATTATGATGGCCAGGGAGCAGGGAATTGAAGCAGCTTCCTTAAGGGAGTATATGTAGCCATTGCTTCTCATTTGGGAACAGCTTTGAAAATTTCATCATCCTCTTCTGCTTTCCTTGGTGAACAGGTGGTTAACACATACACCCCAGGAAAGAAGATATGGCTTGAAGGTGTGGTGACCACCTCAGCTGGAGGCACGAACAATCTATCAGATTCCTATGCTGCAGGATTCTTGTGAGTATCACTTGCAGTTTCACTCCCAGGGAGCCTGGGGAAGAAGCGCCTTCAAACCACCCTCTGTTCATTATCCTACCCACTGCAGGGGTGAGGTTTATTTCTCATTTAAATTTCTTCATTCATTTGTGAATGTGTCTAACCATCCAACAACTGGTAACTAGTACCTTTTTAAAAACATTTATTTATTTATTCCTTTATCTATTTATTTGTGATTTTTCAAGCCTCTGAGTTCGAGACTCAGACCTCCATCAGCCATGTGGGAATCCAGCACCCCAACTGCCTTGCCCGGCTGACATACTAAAGTGTCAGGCATAGTATCACGGCACAGGTAACAGCTGGGGTAGTGGTAATAGTAATGACAGTAATGAGAGCTTTATTTAAGGTCCACAGTTCAAAACACAGCACAAGAACATACACGATCTCTAATTCTCACCGCTCACATTCCATGCAAGTCACTAAGCTAGAGTCTGTCGAGGTCAGAAATAGGAATTTTCACGCCATTTCTGTAAGTGTGTTTACACAGGTATGTACATATGCAGGGACTTAGATGGTCACAATTTTTATATGCATCCTCAACTGAGAGCAATGCCTGGCATTTATAGTTTATTAATTCTGTTGAATAAATAATAAATGAGTAAACCAATAGGATTTTTTACACATAAAAACACCAAGAGAAGAGCCAGCAAGTGGTGTGGTAGTTGAAGTGCAGGATCCCATACGTCCAACTCCACAATTCAAGTCCCAGCCACCCATGCCGGGTGCATGTGTATGCATGCCCAGAATCCCAAGAGGAGAATGGAGGAGGAGGGATGGCAGGTATTCATGCCCCTGAGGGGTGCTTTCTCACTTTCCCTCTCTCTGTCTCTGGCGAATGCAGGAGCCCAATGGCAAAATCTAAAAAATGCAAACAAACCACCAGGATACAGTTCTGATATTCAGATGCTGCTAGAGGTAGGGGCTTACATAGATGCGATTTCATGTTTATTCATGGTTTTGTTTCTTCATTCATTCAGTAAGTACAGAGATAGAAAGATGAATAAGACATGCTGGGTTTTTATAGATTACTGCTTGTTAGATATAGCCCCTGCCGTATCTGTGCTGTTTCTCTGTGGAAAAGCACTGACTTAGGAGGCATTAGGTCAGAATTCATGTTATAAGTCCACCCTAGGACATTCTTTGACATCCAGACATTTAACACTGCCTCAGTGGCGAGAGGAGAAGCGAAATCTGTTAGTCTGATTTCACAAGGTTGTCACGTTAATCAATATAATAAGGTCAAGTAGATTAGCCATGTGATATTCCAAAAGTAATTTCAGTTGTCTGGGCCACACTGTCCCAATGTGAAGAACAATACAAAGTTTCTACTCTATTATAGTTAGATTTTCCTTTTGATTTAAAACTTTTGTTTCCGTGTTTTACTTTGTTTTTGTAACGCAAATTGTTGGTACAGATTTGTTCATTTTTATGGGAATAAAATATAATTGTAAATGTGAAAACAATTTGGAAGTATGAATAATATTTATTCATAATATAAAAACTAACAATGTTCTGTATTCCAGTAAGGAAAAAAACCCTCAATTCTTTTACAAGTCATGGGTTTAGAGCTCCATATGGTTTCAGATTTGGGAAGCCATAAGGATGTGTAACTTTTCCCTAGCATACGGATTCTCAAGGTTCTTAGAATCTAATTTTACCCAGATAAATTCCCACTCAGCTAAGAGCACCTACCATGTGCCAGGAACTGTGGGGGTGTTTTGGGGACAAGCTCACACTGCCGTCTATGCCTGATGAAGGAAGCGTAAGTGACAGGAAGGTGGAGAAGGGGCAAGTGATTGCCACTTAGTGGCTAGCAGAGGGACGACAAGAGTCCTGGGGAGGTGCAGAGGAGGGGAGTACTGCGGACAGGGCCACGGAGTTCAGTAGGCGATGGCACTTGATTTGGAGATCAGTAGATGCAAAGAAATTCGTCAGATGGAAAGAGGTGGGTTAGGGGAGGAGAGGAAGGGGATTTCTTTTTTAATTTTTTTGAAAGTTTTTTGCTATAGGGCGCATGTGCTCACCAGAGAGACAGAGAAACAGAAAGCGAGAAATATCACACACACATACAGACACACACACACACACACACACACACACACACGGACGGGGGGATGGCCATGCTGCCATCCCTTCTCCTCCATTCTCGTCTCAGGATCTTGGGCACGCACGCATATGCGTCCAGCATGAGTTTAAACCACCGGGCCCGGGACTCAAACCATGGTCAACTACATGGGAGTCCAACGATATAGCCATTACACCAACTGCTGGTCCTAAGAGGAAAGGATTTCTAACCCTGTATACAGGCTGAGGAAAGTATGAGAAAACATGATGCATTTGGGTAGCCAAGAGTAGCTTTATGTGACTTAGAGACTGTGGGATTGAGGTTTCGGGTGCGAGGAGTGGGGAGAAGAGGAGTTAAATGAAGCCGGACAACACATACTTGGGACAGATTGTGAAATGCCTTACTTACATTCAGAGAGGCCTGAAGCTCTAAGTCACGCTTATTTCCCACGTAGCAGCACGATGAGGCGTTTCCTCAGTTTCAGAGGTGGGAATACAGAGAGAGGAGAGTGAACGCACCAGCGGATGAATGACTTGCATGTGTAAACAGTGACACACACATACAGACACACACACACACACACACACACACACACACACACGGGGGGATGGCCACGCTGCCATCCCTTCTCCTCCATTCTCGTCTCAGGATCTTGGGCACGCACGCATATGCGTCCAGCATGAGTTTAAACCACCGGGCCCGGGACTCAAACCATGGTCAACTACATGGGAGTCCAACGATATAGCCATTACACCAACTGCTGGTCCTAAGAGGAAAGGATTTCTAACCCTGTATACAGGCTGAGGAAAGTATGAGAAAACATGATGCATTTGGGTAGCCAAGAGTAGCTTTATGTGACTTAGAGACTGTGGGATTGAGGTTTCGGGTGCGAGGAGTGGGGAGAAGAGGAGTTAAATGAAGCCGGACAACACATACTTGGGACAGATTGTGAAATGCCTTACTTACATTCAGAGAGGCCTGAAGCTCTAAGTCACGCTTATTTCCCACGTAGCAGCACGATGAGGCGTTTCCTCAGTTTCAGAGGTGGGAATACAGAGAGAGGAGAGTGAACGCACCAGCGGATGAATGACTTGCATGTGTAAACAGTGACGGCAGAGTCATCGGCGGGTATTGGAAGAACCAAGGGGGGGTGTGTTGGAAGGATGGCACCCTGGGAAGTGGGTGGCACGGTGGAGTGGACGGTGAGTGTGGGAGCAGTGCATACCCTCCACTATAATCTACGTGTGATGACTACATACTTGAGTCCCGTCATAGTTCATTCCAGTGCCAAGGGAGAGTAGGACCGCATTGACCGCTGACGGTGACATGCAGGGATGTGAGGACGGGCATGCTCTCACACAGGCCGGGTGTGTGTGTTACAGGCCCGGGAAAGGTGCATGCGCAGTGACGCAGGGCAGGCAGGGGCGTGGTGGAATGTGCAGCGTGTGCGCGTCTGTGATTTCATGTCCCGTGGCCAGGAGGGAGGACATGAGGCTTACAGGTGGCCAGGGTGTTCATTTGCTGGTATTCCATGAATAAAAGACGGGTCATTAGGAACAAGCTATTTTATGACTAAAGGCAACTCATTTTACTCCCTTGGACCTCTGTTTCTTTTCCTATAAAATGAAGAAGTTGGACTTGACAATCTCCAAAATCTCTTACAGACGTGCATTTGATGTTTAAAATAACCTTCTCCTTCGGTCTGGTCATGGGTTTCATAACATTGTTTCAGTCGGCTGTGGACTGGAAATATTAAGGCTGTCCCGTAGGGGCCTGTGAGCTATGCACGTCGCCTAGGCACGTGGTAGGCTGTATCATTCAGGTTTGCGTAAGTAACCGTGCCGTCAGGGCCGTGATGGAACCACCTAACACATTTCTCGGAGTGCATCCCGGTCGCTAAGCTGTGCGTGACTAGTTGGTGAGTTTGGTGGTGGGGGTGGTGTGTATCTGTGTTTTACAGCCAGTCTCTGAAGAGCTCATCGTGTGCCATTTTAAAAGGGAATTGATGTCACTTTTTTTCCTCTGTCCTTCAGATGGTTGAACACCTTAGGAATGCTGGCCAACCAGGGCATTGACGTCGTGATCCGACATTCATTTTTTGACCATGGATACAATCACCTTGTGGACCAGAATTTTAACCCGTTACCAGTAAGTGTGGGATAAAGATTCCCAAATCCTTTTCCACATCATTCAGGTTTAATTTTCTTTGCTAAATCATTCCTTGTTCCATACTAGAGAACTGTTCTCCTCTTGCTATTGGCAGTCAATTTCATAAATTGGAGAGAAGCGTTCTTATCTTTGTTCCCTTGGCCTCTTCCCAGACTTTTGCCTTCGCCACACACCTATCCACATACTAATATCTGTACGCACACATATACACATACATTTGCATGTATGCGTATTTACATATGTACACTTACATATAAGATATTTACATATTGGGACCAGCAGTTGGCATAATGGCTATGTTACTGGACTCCCATGTAGTCAACTGCGGTTTGAGTCCCAGACCCGGTGACTTGAACTCATGCCAGGCACGTGTGCGTGCGTGCCCAAGATCCCGAGAGGAAAATGGAGGGGAAGGGATTGTGGCGTGGCCATCCCCCTGGGGGGTGATTTCTCGCTTTCTGTCTCTCTGTCTCTCTGTCTTTCTGGCAAGTGCACATGTCCTATAGCAAAAACCTCTCAAAAAAACAAAATTCACATATTTAGGGGCTGGCAGGTGGCATGGGGGTTAAAGGCTCTGGACTCCCACATGACCAACTGCAGTACGAGTCCCAGACCTGGCGGCTTGGTTTCTCACTTTCTCTCAATCTCCCTCTAGCTCTCTTTCTCTCTTTTCTCTCTCTCGCTCTGTCCCTCTTTGGTCAAATAAAAATAGGTAAATGAATAAATAAAGTAAAGTAAAATAATTCTTTAAAAAAAGATATTCATATATTTATAACTATTATTTTAGCAAACCTTATGCAATTGAGATTCCACATCTACTTGTGGCCTGTTTGAACTCTGCTTGAGAGTGAATTTTTCCAGATTGTTTTCTTTTAATGCTAATAGGAGACATTAGTTAATGTCAGATGCAACATGTTGAAAGCAGATGGGCGAGTGTTAGCCAAGATGCGATACAGTAGGAACCCATCTCCTGAGGACAGCGGACGTGCACTTAGAGCTCGATGTTGATCCCTATGTGACAATGAAGGGATTTATTTGCCCAGGAATTTTTTTAGGAAAGTAAAAGAAAAGAAGAATAAAATAGGATGGCAAAAACAGAGATCTGGGTTGGTCTACTTATTGGCCAATCAGAGAAATCCCACTTAGTGCCGAAGAGCTATGCTTATCAGAAATACTAACGTAGGTTATTCTTTTTCTCAGATGTCATACTCATGACAAAATGTAGATTCCTCTCATCAGCTCAGAGTTTCAGAGCTGGGATTGCCCTTCAAGATGACCCAGTCTTGCCTCATTTAAACGGAGGGACTGATAGCCAGGGGTGGGGTGGGGCAGGGAAAAGGGGATGTAGAGCCTGCCCCCAACCTGTTCCTGGTGCTTCTCTTGCAGAATTACTGATGCCCTGGGGTCCACTGTAAACAAAACCAAACAGAACCAGGGAGTGTCCCTGCTATGATACTTACTTTCCTCTGCTCGTGCCCTCCCCACCCTCTTCACCCCCATCCTGAGCCAGGAGGCCTCGGAGCCCAGAACAGAGAACAACGTAGCACCCAACAGCACCACGTCCATGCTCTGAAAGAACCCTCTAGGTTAGAGTCCTAAGTAGTTATTGTATACTGGGTGTACATGATTCCAATGTTCCAGATAAATCACAAATAGTAAAACCAACTGGCAGAGTTGCTTTTAGGGATACCTCTCTGAGGTAAATGCCTGGGTCTGGGATGGGAAAGAGAGAGAGCTTTCAGCTTGGAAACACAGAGATTTGTTTTGCTTTGCTTTAGCTTATATACATGTGGAAATAAAACAATTAGGAACGATCTGCAAGATGTACGTATTAAGTATAATGTCACACAGAAATAAATATTGACTGGACATCGGTCACTGGGGAAGAGACTAGAAAGTGAGAAAGCGAACCGTGAGGGCTCCTTTAGAGTGCATGCCCAGAAAGGCTTCTCTGAGGAGCTGACACGTAAGCTAAGAGCATGATGACAGTGAAAAGCCAACTCTGTGGATGTCACAGAAGCACTTCACAGGCGGAGGGGAAGATGAACACAGAGGCTCCGTGGCGGGAACACAGCGGGCATGTTTAAGGAGACACAGAACACAGGTATCTGGAGCATCGCGGGAATGGGGAGACTGGCTGGAAACGAGGATCCGTTCTCACAGGGCTCTGTAAGCTAAAGGAGTTTGACTTTGACTGTGAGTATATCTAGAACCACTGCAGGGACCAGCAAGTGGTGTCGTGGTTGTCACTAGACTCCCACATGGCTAACTGCGGTTTGAGTCCTGGACCCAGTGGCTTGAAAATCACTCGGGGAGGTGTCTGTGTGTGTGTGTGTGTGTGTGTGTGTGCCCAAGATCCTGGGAGGAGAATGGAGAAGAAGGGATTATGGCATGACCATTCCCTCAGGGATCTCTCTCCCTGTCTCTGGCAAGCACACATGCCCTAAATCAAAAACCTTTACAAAACCAAACCAAACCAAATCAGAACACTGGAAGGCTTTAATCAGAGAAATAACACAGTCTAATTTATATTTTTAAAAGTGCTCCCGGGAATAATGCATCAAATGTTAGTTATACATTTTATATAATGGAGATAATGCTTAGCAATTTACGAATCACTTTCATAAATGACACATCGACTCTGCTCCAAACACCCTGTCCTTCCTCCTTCCTTTATTTATTATTTTTTTTAGAGAGATTTTTGCTATAGGGTGCGTGTGCTCACCAGAGAGATACAGAGAGACAGAAAGCTAGAAATCATCTCCCGGGGGAGAAGCCACACCTCAATTCCTTCTCCTCCATTCCGCTCTCAGGATTTTGGTACACGTGCACACACACCTGGCATGAGTTTTAAGCTGCTGGGCCCAGGACTCCAACTGCGGTCGGTCGACTATGTGGGAGTCCAGCAACATAACCATTATGCCATCTGCTGGCCTCTTCTTCTTTTCTTTCTTCCTTCAGCTCATTCAGATTCCATTCCCTCTTCTTCATCATGTACTATGTGCCAGTTGCTACTGCTGGAAAGACAAGGTCTCTGGACTCATGGAGCTGGCGAGTGGTGAACCTCAGTGAGAAATGGAAGAGAAATGTATAAACAAGATCATCACAGTTTGTTACAATTGCTCTCAAGAAAGCCTGATGAGATAAATATGAATATTTACATGGATTTTGCTGAGGCGAAACTAAGGTTCTGTGAAGTTAAAGTGACCTACTCAATATCACACTAGTAGGAAGAGCAAGAAATCTGAGTTTTCTAGTTCTAACTCCTAGTTTTTTTCTCCCTCTGCGTCACACTATTTCTTGGTATACTTAGGTGTTTTTGCTGTGGTCTGAGGCCAGTTTTGCCTCATAATTGAGTCTGGAGGTGAAAACAGACACGTTTGAGTGTTGGAGAAAAGAAAACATTCCAGAAAGGAATGGTCTTTGGGGGACTAGTCAGGCTTCATTTCCAGAGTTGGACAAACCTGGATTCTGTATCTACCTTCTGTGTACCATTTGCATGACTGGGTATCAATCAAAGATAGTTCTCATGGCTTTGTTCTCCCCATCGGAGAGTTGATGCTGGTGGCCCCAGAGATTCAGTGGATACCTGGTGTCAGGAGAACTCATGGAAGTCCATAGGAAGCTGAAACAAGTTCCATTCATTTAGTGCAAAGGCTCACATGAGCCGGGCAGCTGTATTTCTGGGAACACCAAGCTCTAATAAAGAAACCGTATGCAAAAGCACTTAAAAAGGTTAGCAGGCTTTCTTTTTATCTTTCTTTGCGCTAATAAATTCTGCACCTTATAAGTAGAGAACTTGGCAGCCAGGACAGTGTGTCCTCAGCCTCCCCGGGAAGGAATTTACGAGGCTCGACCAGGGCACCAATCTGAGCGGCGTTGCCAGCAGGCCCCTGGAATGTGTAATGGAGACCAACCTGGGGATTGTATTGGTTGCCACTTCAGAGAGTTGTGCGATTGATAGCTAAACACTGCCAATAAAAACTTGTGGATTTTACATTGTGATTAAATCTTCAAGAGAGTTTGTTAAGAGCTTAGGGGATTAGTGAGTTGTATTTTGGTTGCTGCCCAGAAAAATCAGTATTTTCTATTCCTGTTCCTTCAAACCCAGGTGAGTGTTCTTCAGGAATAGAACTTATTAGAAGATTTTGGCTTATGTTTTGTTTTTGTCAGTGCTCTGAGGTAAACTCAGAAAAAGTGAGCATCTTGGTCTTATGGCTCCACAACTCGTAGCCCATTTTATGCCTGCCAGTCAGTTTCCATCCCAGTTTGTGGCGTTCCAGTCCAGCCCTGGCGGGCCATTCCAATAGTACTGATTTAAGGTAAGAGAGACTATGCGATGGCCCTTTAAAAAAGAAATTCGTCCCCAGAAAAGACAATTTTCGACTACACCCCATGTTCTTCATGGTGGATCTCTAGCATAGTGCCAACCCTCCTCCTGTTGTGAGGTTTCCGTAATTCTGGGAAGAGGAGAACATTTAGTTCAGCCGTGCCTCATCACTCAACTCCCACCCATTTCCCCGACCCCTCCGCTGTTGGGAACGCGGGGTCGTGTGAGTCTCCACAGCCGGCCAGTCAGTCATAGGCTCCCTTGGGAGCAGGCGGTGTTTGTGCAGAAGAGATCTGCACATTTGGTGGACATAGTCCAGACCCCACCAACCGTGGGCATTTCTCCTCAGAGAGGGTTTTGGAATTTAGCTTGCTGCTTTTTTAAAGAGCTTGATTTACAGAGCTTTCAAGGGAAAGGAATGGTGAATTATTAGTCAACATCTTCTTAACTCCCACACCCAGCTAACATAAGCAGGCTTTGCACAAATATAACTCAACTCAAAAAATATCCACACTTCAGATGGGTCTGGCTCTGTGCTTGGCATTCTATGGACACACACATAAATAAGATACAAGCCTTCGTCTGCAGAGCTAATGAGCCGGGGTGTGTCTGTGGGATGACGATTTCGTTTTCGACTTGGAGAAAATAG